ACAGACGGACAGAGACTGAGACAGACAGACAGACAGAGAGAGAGAGAGAGACAGAGAGACAGAGAGACAGAGAGAGAGAGAGAGAGAGAGACAGAGAGAGAGAGAGAGAGAGAGACAGAGAGAGAGAGAGAGAGAGAGAGAGAGAGAGAGAGGGGGGGGGGGAGAGGGAGAGAGAGAGACTGGTGTGGGCCAAACGTGGCGGATGGAATTTTGCTCGTCGCAGGGCCTGAACCGCCCCAGTCAGTCGGGCACGTGATTTGACAAGATAGTAGGAGATCCAGCAGAAGCACAGGTTGGCCAGATACAACACTACTGAAGTCCTGCCCGGCATATATTTATGTCCTGGAGTGTTTATTTGTGGATGGGGATGAAAAAACAGAAAATACTATGTGTGGATAGAGAGATGCATTTCGTGAACCAACTTGGCCGTGTTGTGTTCCGCACACCATTGAGACGCAACTTCCTTGCACCCGTGTAGAGTCGTTGACCTGGCACGGTGCGTGCGTTGTAGGAGTTCGCACGGTGGCGCGCACAAACGACGAAAAAGGAAAGGGGTTCGCAAACTAATGGCTCGGGTACCAACCAACCCAAGCACTCTTTCTCAACTGGTTGACGATACTGCTGTACGCGGTAGTCTTGCGCGCACCAATGACACACGAATGTGCGTCTGTACAGCAACCTCAGGACCCCGCAATCCTACGGTTCGTGCCGGGCGGCGAAGACCCTTGGGGGGGCTTGGCGGCGAATTTTCTGAGAACTTGTCAATCTCCCCGAAATCAGACTTGTCCCACCAAGCTGGCTCTGGAGCCACGTGGGCCCCCACCCCCACCCCCGCCCCCCTGCACACTTAACCATAAAGCCAAATTTCGCTCTTCGACCCCCCTCCCCCCCCACGGCATGCGTATGCTGCGCTCCCCCCCCCCTCCCCCCGTCCACCGTTGCAGGTCGAGGGGCCTAAGCCCCAAACCAGGTTCGTGCTAAAGAAGGCCCTTGAGCTCGGGCTTCAGGCGGTGGTGGTGGTGAACAAGATCGACCGGCCCTCGGCACGACCGGAGTATGTGGTGGACAAGACGTTCGACCTCTTCTGCGACCTGAACGCCAACGACGAGCAGTCGGACTTCCAGGCGAGTGCATCTACGGCCCAGCTGTTTGTGTGTACCATTGGTGTGTTTGTGTCTCCGCACCTTCCGACGGTAGTGTGGTTGGAATATTGTATTGGGACTAGGTTAACCCAGGACCGATGTTGGATGACATAAACCTTGATGGTTTAACACACAATCGTGCTCCTTCCAGCACACAAACAGAACATGGAGACAAACTACTGAATACATGTGCGCGCTCTCTCTCTCTCGCTCTCGAGGGCCCCGCACTTGGACCCCCAACAGCATACATACCCCCTACACACATATTTCCAAGATATTTTCCAGATCCGATCGCGTATCCAAGTACCCCAAATAATGTAGTGGCAAATACATGTCTGCCCTTCTGAGATGCGAATGACATGCTTGTCGGAAGGTCGCGGTACGTTTATTTATCTGACCTCTCCTCACGAGTACAGTGTCCCGATGTCGGTATGATCTGAAAGGTCGCAATACGCGTTTTGCTCAGCCTCTTGTCGTGTGTTTGTATTTTGGCATTTTTCTCACGCATAATATCGTTTTGCTCAGCCTCTTGTCGTGTGTTTGTATTTTGGCATTTTTCTTACGCATAATATAACGCAATGAATCCGTCTCTTTATCCATGGACAACGGTGTACGATATAATTGGCAAAATGGAATTGGAATTGTAGATTTTTGAAACATGGTCATCGAAAGGTCGCTTTGCTCAGCCCCCCCCCCC